AGCAAATCTGGATTAAAGTAATTTATCATAACTGCAGTTTTAAGAGTCTAGCAAAAAGAGGAGAATTGATGCTCAGGAATTGTCCATATTGTCAGATCCAAGAGATAACATTATTTGTCATAGTCCTGAGGTGATCAAAACAATTCATGTGAAGAAAATGCAGAGAGAGCTTCCTGAAAACAAGATTATATATATCTAGGGACAAAGTGCCAGAGGGGCAAGCAAGGGAATACTTTCTCCCAACCTAAAACATGGTTTCTTAGGTCTGTGAAAAGATTTTCAGAAGTGTGCTGTATGGCTGTGTACTGGTTTATGTGAATTTCAGTTATGTAAATTTTGTTTTCATTTTTATAATGTTTTTTATTTTTTTTAAAACAAATTTTTTATTTTTTTAATTTTTGTTTTTTAATTTTTTTAATTTAAGTTTGCATAATTAATATTACTTTAATGTGAATGTACAGGAGCATGAGGCATGAACTAAATCTTGTCTATGATGTTTACTGTCATACGTGAACTTCTGTAATGTTTTATTGTAACGCTTAGCATGTTTTCTAATGGAGGAAAAGTAAATGTCACCCCTACATCTACTGACTCCAATACGAAGTATTACCCTACTAATACTACTCTTAAATGCATGTTCTCAGCAGGCTTAGAAATACAGAAACCTGTTCTGACAATTCAGCTAATATTACCAGAAATACGTTTTTGCACGCTTCCTAGAGTTTATCAAGAGCAGAGGACAAAATCTGGATACATCTTATGCATACCCAAGGCTGTGTTTCTGCTTGTAGTATGGCTTGGGCAGATTGCCTGCAGTTCTGCCTGATGGCAGGGTGATTTGTCTCAGGAGAAATCCTGGCACGCACCAAGTTGCTCCGAGTGATGCAGTGGAGCAGGTTGTTTGCTGGGCTCAATTTCTGTGGAGTGATGGAGAATGATCCTGCTTTCTTATCCCAGTGCAAGTGCTGACTTCACCTTGTTCCCTTAGGCAAGAGGGAGCTGTCCTGACGCAGAATTCCGGTTGCACTTGGGGAAGTTTTAAATGGGGGAAATGCCAGCTGTGGTTCTTCCCCACACGTGGTTTGCAAGGTGGAATGGAGATGCAGGCCGCTGTCCCCTCCTGCCTGCACTCAGCACTGTTCCAGGAAGCAGCTCCTTGTGTTGCCCTCTGAGAATTGCCTTATTAGCAGTTCTGGCTTTCTGTTCTGCTGTTTTGGCATGTCTGTGCCCATATCTTGCTTTTGTTTTAGGGATGTTAATAACTTTACAAAGAGTCACAGTAGAGTCACAGTCATGTTGCTGCAGGGCGACTTCCTTTCTGCAGCACTGAATCCCAGTGTCAATTTGTACTTTCAACAGTAGCCTATTCACCATCTCTTAATTTTTACCCTTTTAACAGTGCAGAGGAGTTATACAGATTTTTAAACCTGGAATACTCATGTTTTCTATGCATGCAATGAATTTGAGGTATCAGAGGTAGTTTGGATGTCTGTGTGAGTACTGCACAGATGGTGTGAGCGCAAGCCCAGAGAAGCCCAGGTATAACACAGAGTCTGGCAAGAGGCTCCCATGGGCTGGTGGAGCCACAGCAAACAGAAAGTTGCTGAGATAGCTCTTCTTGGCTCAGCCAAGCACGGATGGTTCTTGATGGTACTCCTGCTCCTGTCACGTATCAGTCCCAGCTGGTCCAGGAGGATTTCCTGAACTGGTGATGAGCCATTTACTTGGGAGAATCAGCAGGTGCTTATTGTGGAACATTAAATTCACGTTGCTTCTAATATGTCTATGCTCTGATATAAAACAACTCCAGTTGACAGAAATACTAGTGCAGCAAATTAGTCCCATTAATTTATTTTTTTAATTTAATTAGGTTACTTTCATTACTTTTTTGAAGCAACAACAACAGCAATAATAATTTTCTACACTGGCAGTACTACTTGAAGTAGTGATAGACACAGCTAATATCCCAGCCAATTTCTGTTTTCTTAGACTTCAGAAAACATTGAATGCCCTAGTTTGCAAATATTATGGTTCTACACTGAGGATAAAGTTACCGCAGTTTGACAGTCAGCAATGGAGGTATTCTTTTGTGCTGCTTATGAATCACATGGTACTAATTTTCCATATAACACATTGATGACATATTTGTTATTTATGACTCCTGTGAATAAGAGCCAAATCCATCTGGCATTGCTCACATGAGTAATCCTGTTAGCTCAGTTTTATAAGTAGAACCAACAGATCTGATGTAAAAAAAAATAAATGATTGTGTTCTTATTGTTTAATTCTCTTAGAGTTCTGCCCTTGATATAAAATTATTGTACTATAAAGCAAACAATAACTTATTTTTCGGTTTCCATCTTGCTGTCTGAAAATCAAGCTGTGGCTGGCAGGTTTCAGACACCGAATTATAGGAGTGAAGAATGATAGCCAGAATCTAGCAGCTAGTTTTACTGGTGTGTTAACGAGGAAGAAGAGAATTTAGCGCATATTTATTCATTTCTATAGTTTCTTCACTGTTATCAGTCAAGTAGCTGTATGTTACACAGAAGACCCAGTAAGAGCAGATCACAGCAGTAAGGTGTCTCCTTGTTACTGCTCACCTGTCTTTGAGATTGCTGATCCTCTGCTTTTCTTCCCACACTGAAAGCGTCCATTTGCACGAGTATCGTTACTGCCGTAAAACTGTAGCTCTGCTGTACACCACCACTCATTTATTTCTCAACAGTAGCTGTTGTAAATCAGTTCTAACGCTGATTTCATCAGTAGTACAGGATGTTCTTGGCAATGCTTATTCTCAGATTCTCACTGCAGTCCAGCTCTTTACCCAAGTAGCTCGTTTCCTGTTCTGTCACTAATCATATGCACTCGTACTTTGCAAGTTAGTGTCTCTCTGAATTTTGTCCTTCTGGGATGTAGTCTTAACAAGTTGCACACTTCTTGACCAGAATGTATGTTCTAGTCTCAGATTAAATCCTGATGTTGCTATTTACTTTATCCTTCCCTAGAATGTACCAGCTTGTGTATATGAGGAACATAGGGAATTAAAAAAAAATAGGTAGAGAGAGGTGGGAAGGAGATCTCGAACAGAGATTGAAATCATCTTAAAGAAAAAGAGGGCTGAACAGTGAGAGAGAAGAGTAATGAAGGGTAAAGTGGAGGAGGTTGTTGCTGCTCTTTAATGATTCACCAAAAGAGATTTCTGTCCCCTTAGCTGTCCTCCTGCAGTTCCGTTCTCTAGAGCTTAGTAGTACCCGAGCCCATCTCTCTCTCCATCCTCTCCTGTATTTTTTCCTGAATTTCATTTCCTTACTTTGTGAAGGAGTAGGTAGGCTTGACCATGCTGTATCTTTACACTCTATTTAAGCAAATAGACCCAGGTAAAAACTGTCATGTATTGTTTGTGTTTCATTGCTATGGCAGATTTACTACTACTGCCAATAAAGGTATCTTTGCTGCAGAATTTAGTCTTGTGTATCAGTGGACTATTTAATTATATTTGATCAGTGCTGTGTTTGCTCTTTAACTATCAGTGAGTTCTGTCATCTTAGTTTTTCCGAAATTCAGAGAACTTGAGGATCCTATACACTGATGCTCTTCACTGCTAAATGGAAAATACTGTGGCTTGTCTTACAAATACGGTTGTGGAACAGAACTTCCTTTCGACCATGTTCAAGGAATTGCTGAGCTATTCTGCTGTATAATCCATTTTTCAGTTGACTGGCAGCCTGGTCTCTCACAAAGGACTTTTGGTTCCTCTCAGAAAACTAAAATTCATTAGTATTAAAAATAACTATGTATTTCCAGAGAGACTGGGTTTCCTCCTGAGTTTGTTCATTTGAGATTTGCATTTAAATAGGCAAATAGGATTTTAAAAATTGCTTTAAGACTTGCAATACTTGAGCTGTGGACACTGAATATACGCATGCATTAAGGTGTTCTGTGAGTTTTGGAAATTCTGAGAGATAAGAAAAAAGAATAGTATGCCTCCAAAATATACTTAGTGGTCTGCAGTGAAAGGTTAAAAAGAAAATTAACTGGTAATAGGGATGTAAAGGGAAGACAGAGACGGGAAGAATAAAGTGGGGAAGTTGGGACAGATAAGCAACTTGTTCATCTGGAACAGCCAAACCATGTGGAAACAGTTTACAAAGAGGCGGGGGATGCTGGTAGATGTGGATGGTGATGGATTCTTTTTGAAGTTCTGTCCTGGTTGTATATTGACAGTGGAGAGGTTTCTCTTGGTTTCTTTCTCCTGCTAAGTAGGACAAAGAATGCACCTTTAGTGTACCAGTTCTGTGAGCTGAGCTGGATCTGCATTAGATCTGATTTAGACTTACAAGGTGGCAAAGTGGTTTTTGTAACGCTGGAGTAAAGGACTTATATGAGCTTGCTGTATGCCGCTATCTGTGCTGTCTTTTTTCTGTGAGATACGACTCCAGCTTCCAACAGTCACTACTTCTGTATATCGTGTTCTATCTTTAGATGAGGTTGTTTAATCAGCAGACTAAATAACTACAGTAAATAAAGACATCTCAGTCTGAAGGTGTTTGTGTATAAGTATTCTTTCAGCCTAACTGTAATCGTGTGTGGCAGTAGGTGATACTGATGGAGTGTCACGAGGATGGAGCCAGGCTCTTCTCGGTGACAAACAATTATAGGACAAGGGGTAATGGGCACAAACTGGAACACAGGAGGTTCCACTTAAATTTGAGAAGAAACTTCTTCTCAGTGAGGGTGACAGAGCACTGGACCAGACTGCCCAGAGAGGTTGTGGAGTCTCCTTCTCTGCAGACATTCAAAACCCGCCTGGACGCCTTCCTGTGTAACCTCATCTGGGTGTTCCTGCTCCGGCAGGGGGATTGGACTGGATGATCTTTTGAGGTCCCTTCCAATCCCTAACGTTCTGTGATTCTGTGCTTCTGTGAAAGTTTAGTTATTTGCTTGCTTGGCGCAAAAAATTTGTTGTTCTGGACTTGATATTTTTATTTTTTTCCTAGATACCCCATCACAAAGGGTGCAGTTTATTCTTGGAACAGAAGATGATGACGAGGAACACATTCCTCATGATCTCTTTACTGAGCTTGATGAAATTTGTTGGCGTGAAGGAGAGGACGCGGAATGGAGGGAGACGGCGAGGTGAGTGTTTTCATGAGGTTTGAAAAATTTTCTGTAGCTGTTTGTCGCTGGTGTATTGAGGAATGATTTCAAAGCTGTGGCAAGCTTAGTAACAGATTTTGGATATAAAGCTTAAATAAAACCGTAATTTTAATCCTTCGACTGCTAGTATTACAGCAGCATTTGTCATTTCCCAGGGCCAAATGTTTTCATCTGGATTTGTGAAATATAGGTCAGAATGAATATCAAGCGAAAAAATAGAAGTAAACCTATTGTATATAAGAATTAAAAATTACTGCTTTATTAATATTTTAGATTCACATTTTAAGAAACTTTCAAACTTCATATTCTGTTTGAACTCTGAAGAAACAGATAAAATTGCCATTATAAAAAGTTTAAAGCAAGGAATTACTTTACTTTTAACATAATTTAACTATCCACGAACAGTTGATTTTAGACTTTGAGTATTCAATCTTGCATTATTTTGTTTCTGCAAAGTTAGTCTGAAAAGACTGCTTGAATTGTATTTCTGCTGAAAAAGAGAATATTGGAACAGAACTTTTTTTTCATGTTTGTTTCCTTAACCACCTAAGGACGCTGTGACTTGCTTAGTCTCATTAAGACTTTACATTTCCCAGAGATGCTTGCTTCATTTTTCTTCTTAGAACCTTAGTTCTCTCTTTCCC